CGATGGGCCCTCACCGAGCGGGATCTGGCGTACTGTTCGGGATGTACCTGAGCGACATGGGCTCGCAGACCATTGCCATGCAGGATTTTCCCGCAATGACGGCATTGGCTCTTCAGGAACTCGCGCGGCTTCCTGTCTGGATTTTTTGGCGCAGTGGTGCCTCTCATGCTCTTTAGCTCCGCGACGCGTGAACCGTCGACGGCAGAATTTGCACTTGGTATCTTTGGGAGACGGTGCTTTCATTTTCCGATGAGCGGAGATTAGGGGCTTACACACAGGTGCGCGCCACTCATGGGAATCTCGCTAACGCCGGGATGGTGTGGATGATCTGGACGAGCCAGTGGGGCTGGGTCAGTGGAGCGCCACGATGCGGATGTCCTCGTCGACCGAGTCGTCTATGCGGGATGCTGCTGGCGCGTCGCGCGCAGCATCGCGCTGACCGCTGTCGCTCGCACAGATGCTCAAGGCCTCGCGCGGTGTGAGCAGTGAACACCAACGCCCCCTTAGTGGCACGTCGATGCAGAGGCGGCGCAGAGCAGTACGAACGGTGCGCGAGAAACTTGCGGAAGTGCGAAGCTCTGCCTTGAGGCCCACGAACACGGCACTGCCCCGGTCGTCACGGAAAACGATCGACTGGGCGCAGTGAAGCTCGGCCCAGCGGCGCAGGTTAGTCAGCTGGTCGTCGCGGAGCATGGGGAGTGTGCAGCGGAACGCCTTGGACGTGTGCATGCTCGACGTTTTACTGGGGAAATGATGTCGACGTAGCAAGACATGTTGCAGGTGCCCAGCGACCCCTTGTCGTATGCAGTTGCTGCAAACTCGCTACCCTGAGCAAGCCGCGGTCGCCCATGCTGGAGGCGCGGGGCATGTCTCACCCACATTGCGAACCATTGAACGTATTGCTGCGGCAGATTGCCTTGGGCCCCAATCAGGCCTGAAGTAAATAGCGCGCCTGTAAGGCACACGCAAGCCATGAGAGGTCACCTCGCTGCCGTCGCTGCGGGATCCGCGCGGACCGAGCTCTCCGCAAACATACGCCTGATGACGTGGTTCTTCGAGCCAGGAGTGCCTGCTGACGACGACGCGTGCGCACGAATGATGCGCTCTCTTCCCGAGTGCGGGCTAGGGGAAATTCGCCTTGATATATCGACGGAGTCCTGTGTCGAGCTGTCCCTCCTCGCCGCTGGTGTCGCGCGAGACTATGACGAGAACAGATTGGACGACCCAGACGTTGTCCATGCATTCCCCGCGTGCGACGCGTATGGTGAGGACGAGAAAGCACTCAGAGCAGACTTCTATGGAAAAGTTGGGAAAGTCATCAGGGAGGTGGGCTCGATACGATGCCGCGCCACCCTGGACGGCTTCCGACAGTTTATTCGCGATGTGCGCTCCGCGGCCCGCGCTTTGCGAGACTCTGGTCTGTGCCCGCGGTGCCCAGAGCGAACAACGGCTCGGATGCGCCTGCCGCATGCATCTTACTGCGGCGAGTGCTGCTTCGCAGTGGCAATACTCGGCGATAGGCAATGATCAGTCTGGTACAGGAAGCCCATCGGTTGGGATAGCCTTCAAGCCCAGCTCTCCCATATATTCCCCCCGTCAGCGTTCGTGGCGAGGAGCATTTGCGCCTGGCCTGAAGGAGTAACCGCACCGGGTGCTCCTCGCAGCTCGGCATCAAGGAGAACGCACGCGTCTGGGCAAGCCACCTTCGGCCACTTGCCCAGTGAGGCTGGCGACTTGCTGCGGTTCGTCCTCAATCGGGGATTGCCCGCAGCGGCGGCGCACCATGTGTTGAGCTGCGTGGCGTGATTGGGGTTATTGTTGACGAGGCACGCCCGTTCAGACTGAAACACATATCGGCGGATTTATAAATGGCAAGGACAGTGCGGTTAAGTGACCCGTCTTGGTCCACAGCCGACGACTACGTCTTGCAACGTCTGACGGATCGAGTGCAAGTTCTCATCTCGAGCCATTGCAATGGGATGCATATCGAAGATGTGAGCAACTTCCTGGACCAGCACGATCCGAAAATACGAACGGATCCGCACCACCACGCGTATCTGCTGTACGGCCCCAGAGTAATATTCGCCGAGGATGGGCAGTTGAAGGTCGAGGTCCGCGGCCTGGTCTACGAGCCCATGGCGGCGCTCGTGGGACACACGCTCGTATTGGAGCTCGGCGACGATGGCAGTCGAGATACTTTTGCGGCGCCCAATACAGGGGCGCATTGGATGCGGCCCCAACAGAAAGGCCACGCGCCTTCCAATGCAAGCGACCGAGCAGGCAGTGGCGAGTGGCTTGGCGCCCGGCAGTGCACCGGGCGCGCTCGCCCTCGTCGAAAACGCCCGGCGCGACGCAGTCAGCCTTTGGCTGTTAAAGTGGCAGCTCTGGAAGGCCGGGCAGGAGAAGTTCTACAAGACGAGCAGGGAATTCAAAGCGATCGATAGGTTGTGCTGGTGGGTGCCAAATACGGTCACTCGCTGATGTGTCCGCGTGCAGATTCGCCGGAACAAACACGGCGATGCCTTATTTCGCAGGGCGCACGGGACGCTTCCAAGTCCGATGGACGACTGAGAGCGGAGCAGGATCAAGCAATTCAACGTGAGTGAGCTGTTGCTGCTGGACGAAGTGCATGCTGGTGCGAAGGCATTCATACAGAGCGCTGGTTCGCTACCTCTCCTGGATCTAAGACGGCTCCGAGCCGAGGCCAAGATGTGGGATACAAATTTCACCAGGGCTAGGGAGTTGATCGTTCGATGCTCGCCGTATTGTCAAGGCTTTCTTTGGTTATTCTACGACCAGAAAATGCCGCATTGTGTCGCCCTGCAGATAATAGCATTCCGGGAGGAAGCTTGACGGCAGAGTCGCGCGGCAGTCGCACTTGTGCAGTGGTCGCCCCACCCAAAAATAAATGGAGACATGGATGGGGGGCGAGGCAGTCGGCGCCGCTTGTGCGCAGCAAAGCAGCATAGAGTCACGGCCCCGCGGTCGACCCCCTGCGGGGTACGTATGGACCAGCTTCTGCTATGTGCACCTTACGTCGGGTGAGCCGCGTTGCCAAGCGGACACCCGTGACCGTTTCGTGCAGCGCAGGAGACGGTACGACCGCGCACGGTATTGGGACCCGAAGAAGAATGCACGCAAGCAAAGGCTGGCGCGGTCTGCGCGTAAGAGCGGACGACTGCCCAAACCAATCCAAGCCACCTTGGAAGAACTGATGGCTGGAGGACCCGCGCCTGGCCAAACCACCTGGATCCCCGAGCACGCAGGCCCAGCGCATGCATCGCCACTTGCTGACCTAGCATAAGACCCGCTGCGGCCGACTGTCATTCAGCACTGGCCTGCGCCCACACGTTCAGCACCTCCACGGTGTCGTCGATGCCACAATAAAGATTCCTAGGATTATCTAGTGGAGAATCATGCCCAAGCGCGCTCGTGTCGATGAGGCAGACGGTGCGCCCGAGGCGCTGTCGCGTGCCACCAAGGCTGCAATCAACAAGCACGGCTGGGACTATTTGCGGCTCGCGTATCGGACGCGGCGGCTGATTTTCATGGAAGGTATCGGGGCCAAGGCGACGGCAGAGATTACACTGTTCCTTCAAGCCTCTGCTGCCGAGAGGAGCCTCTGGCAACGTTTTATGGACCTTGTGGGGCCACATTTAAACTCCGATTGGATGAAGCGCCTGGCTAGTTGGAGCAACAGCGGCATTGTGAACGATAGCCTGGTGAAGCAAATGCAAACGATCTGCACATTCCCGCAGTACGCAAACACAGCGCTGCTCCGGGCGTATATAAGCGCGGTCGGCAAGAGAGTCCGCGAGTACGAAGAGACTGGCCAGGAGCCGTCCTGGCCCATCTTCGCAATCGATGAGGCGCGCGCGAGGCCCTACGATTACCTCTGCAAGCAATGGGGTCTTTCCTTGAGAATGACAGACATGATCGCCACAGCAGAACAATGGCGGGGGGCACAGAGCAACGCACGCTTACGCGCATACCTTAAAGAGGGTATAGTTCATCTGATCCAGAAGGACGGACACACTGTTTGCGGGCGAGAACATCTCTTGCAATGGTGCATGAGGATGAAGCAGCGGGAGCATTGCCCTAAAACCGCTCTTTCAAACACCCTCGCGGATATGCTGCAAGAGGACAAGGCCGCCATCGGTCTAAGGGGTGCTGGGGAAGCGTCGCAGCCCAATGCTCCACCCCAAGCACTCGCCAACGCAAAGGTGTATGCGCAAGAGTGCGCCGTCGCGAATGCTGTCGCTGAACTCATGAGCGAGTGCCCTTACCACGAGTTTGGTGGCCGCGCAGAGACCATGCGTGCCACGCTGGACAAAAGCTTCGCCGCCGCCGGACGCTGCTCGCCAGACGACGCGCAGCGGGCTGCGATTCGCGGCCTGTTCAACAGCACGCTCGCCCAGATCTAGGTCGGTGGCCAGCACGGCAACCTCCAGATCTGAGCAAGTTAAAAGAAAAAGAAGAGAAATGAGAGAAAGCAGCTAACGGGCTTATAATGGAGTCTGGGCGGGTATTGTAATCAACATCATCAGAAAAACCCGGAGAAAGCCGCTCGCTGGACAGGCGACTCTGCGGTGCGACGTGCGATCAGAGTAGGCTGACCGGCTTTCTCCCCTTTCTCAAGTTCCTTGGCCATCCCCACTCTCTAGGTCGGCGGCGCGACGGGCAACTACAGTGGACCGAGCGGCTTTCTCCCCTTTCTCAAGTTTCTTGATCCATCCCCCTCTCTCGGTCGGTGGCCAGCACGGTAACTTCCAGATCTGAGCAAGTTAAAAGAAAAAGAAGAGAAAGGAGAGAAAGCCCCCAACGGGCTTATAATGGAGTCTGGGCGGGCATTGTAATCATCATCATCCAAAAAAACATGGACAAAGCCGCTCGTCCAGTTGGAGGGAGGTGCGTTCGCTAGCCGCGCGTGCAACTTGTGTCAAATAGAAAAGCCTAGACCACGGTACCGTCAATTGCATAACTCGCTCCGCGCGCGAGCCATGGCAGTGGCGAAGGTAGTTCCCCTCCTTCGCAGCGATAAGCCCGGCGCCCTTGCTCTCACGGGCCTCGCAGGCTGCGGCAAACGCCACGCGATCGCAGAGGCAGCGCGCCAGGCGGGCGCGGCCGTCACTCACCACGACCTCACGCAAGGCGCCATACAGTGGGGCAGGCTCAATAGTCAGCAGCTGATTTCGACGGGCCTCGTGCGCAGCGTCCACGTAATCTCGAACGCATCCGAGCACTTCTTGAAGGACTTCGCGTTCGTAAAGAGAACGCACGCGAAAATCATTCTGGTGGCAGACGACGCTGGCCCGAGCATGAGAGCTAGCGGTGTGCCCGTCGCGCGAATGCAGCCAATGTCGGCCGACGCGATGGCGAAGCAGCTGTTCCATGAGGATAGCTGGGACGCCGAGGCGGCTCTGCGGTGCGCGCAGGTGGCGCAGGGGGACTGGCGCAAGCTCCGCAGTACCGCCGAGATCTTCCGCCACGGCAACGAACTCACAGCGGGCACGGACCTCGTCGAGAGCTCGCGCAAGGACGCCACGACGTCGGCCCTCCACCCGTCCCTCGCAGCAAATCAGGTGCTCAACGGAACGGCGGACCCCGGCTGGGCCTTGGACCCCATGGTCTTCGCCTTTTTGTGCGTGCTGGGAGGCCTCGCCGCCGCGTCCTTCGATGGTGCACACAACGACGCTCCGCAAGACGGGGCCCACATCTCCCAGCGATGTCGCCCAAGTCGCCATATTCTGGATCGTCGCGGGGCGCTTCGTTGAAGAAGCGGTTCTTGGGGTTGCCCGCAGGTGCGGAGCTTGAGCTGCGAAGGCGCGCGCGTCCAACTGGGTCAGCCACGGCCCCCATGCGTGCTCCAACCGCCGCACTCACAGCGACGCCCGCTGCCTCTCGGAGACCAGATTCCCCAGAAAAGTAAATACCGTCAGATCGGTAATCGTATTGTCGCCGGGCCGTCGGTGCCGTAATGTCCCACATCGCTGGCAACTGCACCATTGCGTTCGGCCAAGCTCAGGGAGTCTGCGCCTACTCATGTCGTTCTGAGCAGGGCGTGTCGGGGCCAGGACCTCAATGGCACGTCAAGTATGTCTAGTTAGCCTCCCTGGCGAAACCACATCTGGGCCCATGGCCCAATTTAGCAAGCGCCGGGCGCTGGTCCTCCACGTGGCGCGGCCACGATGCTCCAATGTATAAGTTCGCGGTTGTTGCCCCAAGAAACAGCGCGCATAAGCTATTAAAGGTATTTCGTCCACTTGGTGATTTCTTGTCAAAGGGCGATGTCGGAGCTTTTGCTCCTCCTGGGCCAGCGCACTCGGGTGCAGCTGCTCCAAGAGCAGACAAGGCTGCGAGCAGTACGGGATTACAGCGAAGTCATTCACAAGAGCGCTCAAGCGCTCGGACTCGTGGCGGACGACCGGGATGCCTACGCCTACTACCGCGTCGGAGAGGAGCTCGATCTGGATTGGGATTTCAGCGACCCGGAGAAGACGTGCGACTTGGCCCGGTGGCTCGACCACATTGCTTGCGCCCTTCGCAGCCGGCCGCGCCAACTGTTCAGCAGCGCCGCATTTTCGTGTGCGAGCAAAGCCTTTGCAGAGCAGGCCGGAGCAAACAAGGAGCTCGAGACAATGGTGCTGTGGCTCCGCGCTGTTTGGGGCTCTCTCCAGCACCACGAAGACCCTTTGCGCAACTGCGCTGATTTGCTTGATGCCGCCGGGGCAGTAGTCGATTACCAGCTACTCTTTGGTGTGTCCATGGAGGTTGCGGCGGTATGCGGCGACGGCTCTGTGCTTCAATCGCTCGCGTCCAGGCTGGGTGAGCTCGCTGACACCGTTGCCGATGCAAGCGTGCCTCGAGAGCCTTAAGTAACACCGCCGCCAACCTCCCTGCCGTTTGGGCAGGCTTCCGCGGAGCAGGAGACCGCGTAGGCAGGGTTTTCCCTCAGTGCAAGCTTTGTGGCTCGGCGCCAAACAAGGATCGGCTATGCGCCCCGAGCAGGCGCTCCAGTCGCCACGCACCTGCCTCGCCCACGGGGCTGCGGCGACCGCTCCCAGCGGCACAGGGCGTCCGCCTCACACATCGGCTCCACGCCCTTGTGCCGAAGGTGGCAGGGCCAACGCGCGGGCGTTAGTTGCGCGCGCCGCTGGCGGCGCGTGGGCTCGTGGAGGGGCGGAGGCGCAGCATGTGGCGCCGTGTGCGGATCTCCCGCGCGCCTCTCCCGAGGCCCTGCCTTGATCTGCGCCGCGTCAAAGAAGTGCCCGGCGAGGTTGGGGCTCAGCGAGAGCTGGAGGCGGCGCATGGCCGCTAACGTTTCCGCCGTGGCCCACGGTTGCAACCATTCCTCCTCGCCACGACGCATTGATGGAGCTCGTGCTTCAGCAGGGCCTCCGCGAGCTGGAGCGCGCGGCGCTTGTGGAAGTGCGCGTCGTTCGGCCGGTTCATCCGGGCCACGGCCAGGATGTCAGCGCCGGCAGGGTAGCTGTATTCCCAGTTGGCGAGACGGCGCAGCAGGTTAAACGAGTATCCCATTTTGATAAGGAAGCCGCGCAGCCCGCGTTGCTGGATCGCGTAGAGGCCGCCCTTGTCGCAGCCCGGCCGGGCCGCGCAGAAACGGACAAATTCGGGGAAGGACGCCATGCCTTTTTGTTTACTCCCTATTCGTCTGCGCCGATCTCGCCCAGGACCTTCCGGAACGTGGGTGGGATTGCATCCTCGCCAAGCGCTGCGAACGCTGACTGGGAGCTTGGTCGGCTGTCCGGGCTCGAGTCGAGCCGCGTGGAAGCCACGGAACCACCTCTGTCTGGTGAGGGGCTCGAGCGGCGCGTCACGGCGCGCCGCGCAAGGCGGTGGATGTCTGAGGCGGCGAGGACGCTTCTGCGCCGCGCCGCCCGGGCCATGCTCCGGGCCACATCGTGCGCAGCACTAGCCTCGAACTGACATTCCCTTGGCATGAACCCTTGAGCTCGGAGTGAGCTGAGCAGCGACCTCCAGGCGCGGGGCGCCTTACCAGGCTCCAGGCGAGCGACGTACAGAATGAGGGCAGGAGTTCGCTGTCGCCGCACGAAGCGTGAAAGGTTGCTGGTCAACCCCACCCGCAAGCGGAGTCCATTTTCAATTGCGAAGATGCCGGGCCCGTCACAAGCTGGGCAGGCCAACTCAAATTCGCGGGGCGTCGCCATTGAAGACGCACTCTTTCTATTTTATGTGAGAACAAACCTGCACATCGCTCCTCCTTCGGTCGAGTCTTCCGCGCCTGCTGCTCCCAGAGGCTGACAGCACGTGCTCAAGGCCTGGCGCATGCTGACAATCGTCGCCGCGCGCGTCCGCGCCGACGGGGTCACGGAGCACAGCTGGCGCGAGCGCTTGCTGCCCGACTTCTGCTGACATCGCGACCGAAGGCGAGCCGCAGCGGGGGCTGCCAAGGCTCCGCGCGGTGGGCACGCAGACACGGCCGTGGATCCAAAGAGCACACCGGTGCGCGCCTAGGAGTGCGGCAGTGTAATTTATGGAATGCGCGCGCAGTGGTCCAAGCCATGCAGTGCAACATGCGCGCGCGCCCACGCATACGCATGCGTGGCGCATGCGAAAGGGCAAGCCCTAAAATTAGAGGAGAAGTGCGCGCAAGCAGCTAGGCAGAGGAGAGCAGCAGTAGTGAGAAACAGGTGGAGGAGTGCACGCAAGGGACGGAGGAGTCCATGGACCAGCCACAGAGGCTCGACACCAACTACAGGTAAGCAGGGCCATTTCCACGCGCACGACCTGCGATCCTCATGGGTTGCAAATCCTAGCCAGCGTCTTCCACACGCGACGCACGCCCCGCACTATGGCAGGACAAAGCGCGCACCCTGTATTTATGCATCGGCACGCCCCGAGGCCCCTTTGCTCACGACTGCTCCCTGTTGCGCAAGGCCACCTCCAAGGCATCTCCTGAGCAAGTGGCGAACCTCTCCGTCTCCTTCTCCACAAGGCCTGTGTGCTCTGCATCCGAAATGCGGGCTTTTGTGTGCCGCACCGGTGATGTAACTGATGGCAGAGGCAGACATCACTCCATAGTCTCGAGTGCCTCCCTTTGCCTTGGTGGACGACCTAGGCATCGTTACCCATGGCATGGGGCAGCACTGGGAAAGAATGGGCTTCCCCTGCAGCCGGGAAACTTAGCGGCCGCCTCCTCGCAGAAAGTCAAATTGGGCTGCGCTGGAGCATTTCCATGAACTATGACACATCGACAGGTGCAGCACGCAGCTGCTTAGCAGAGCAGACGCCCCCCTATCAAACAACGCGCGTGCCAGAGCGAGCTTTGCAGGATTCTTTAGCGTGGCGTCCAGTTAGCAGTAACCGTGGCGATGCTGACTTGTGGCACAAAGCATGAGTCCACACAGCTTTCGGGCATGAAAGTAAAATCAAAGCGGTTGCCAGCGGTTGCCAGCGCGACGGGCATTGGCAAAACAACGTAGCGACCTCGTCGTTGTGCGCCCGACCCCGCGCCAGCGTGATCAAAGCAACGGTCAACAAAGACAGCCAACGCACTGCCGACCTCGGCTAGCATATTATCCTCCCCTTGCAAACTTTTGTCAATCAATGCCTTTGCATGGGCCATGTCGGGCGCTGCATCTGATTTGCCGCCGAGCGCAAATCCTGCCGCAGCCGCGCGGTCGAACATTGCCACGTGAAAAGCCACAACACCTGCTTGCATCGAAGCATCGCTTGGGCACTCGAACAACTCTTCACCAGTTGCGAGGACTCCACAATAGAGAAGGTGGCGCACCTGGAAAGAATGGCCGGCTGGCTTCCACGAGCTGCTTGAGCACCGCTGCCGGGCGCCGGGCGACCGCGGCAGGGCGCCGGTTGGCGCCCCAGGCTTGCCCGGAATGCGGCACGCGCTATTTGCCACGAGGCTCTTGGTGCTTGTTCCTCGACGGCGTGACGAGCGTCGCTTGGCCAGACCACTTCAGCCTACACGAGCTCGTGATGCTCGGCTTCCTGACTGCGCAGCAGAAGCGCGTTCATCCTGGGGTCTGAACACGAGCGCAAACCCACGCAGCTTCCGCGACAGCGTTGCCATGCAGCTGGGGCTCGTCAGCGGCTACTTCTTCGGCGTGGTCACGCAGTCAGAGCTGCTGCGCGACGCGACGAGGACGAGCGACGCCGTGGGCGGGGCCGGCGAAGACATCGAGCGGAGCCTGCGTTCTTTCGCGCACTCTGGCTCCATAGTGCGGCTGAACTTCGCGGCGGCCATCGCCAAAAACACAAGCAACGCTGGCGGCCTGCAGCATTATTACAGAACCAGCGAAAACAGGCTGGCGGCACACGGCTACGTCGGGTGGTCGCTCTGCGAGGAGTTCCCGTCGCTGCTGCGGATCGCGCCGGGCTCCCCCAACGGCGTCACATTCACGCGGCGGTCTCGAACGAGGGAGGAAGAGCAGGAGGAAACCACCGGCAGCGGCGGCGACACAGAGTCGTGCGACGACGTCGAAGAGCCGGTCTCTCCGCTGCGCACGGCGTCCTCAGAGCGATGCGAGGAGAACAGGTGCGACCTCTGCGGCATTTCGTACGCCCGTAAAAAGGATATGCTGTACCATGCCCGGCGGGTCCACGAAAATTGCGCCGAGACCGTTGCGTGCCCCCTCTGCTCCAGAGCCTTCTGGAAAAAGAAGGACATGCTTTTGCATTATCGGATGCAGCGTTGCCACTCGAAGCGAGGGGGGAGAAGCCCCCCCCAACTTACCCTTGCACGACCGCCCTCCCTTTTTTCTCGTGCGCAGGCGGAGTAGCTTCCCCTGTGCAGAGCGATCCCTCCCGGCCTCGCCCGAGCGCGTGCCGGTGGCTTGCCCGAGCGCGGGTTGCCCGCGTGCCGTGGCTGGAATTGCGGCGGCGCCCCGGCTAGGCAGGGCTCGGGCCCGGATTCGCCGTTTAGCCGTATGTCCCCACGCGCGGGTTGTGGCCAGGCCCTGCCTGGCTGGGCCCGGATTCGCCGTTTAGCCGTGCGTCCCCACACACGGGCTGCGGCCAGGCGCCCCGGCCAGGCAGGGCGCGGATTCGCCGTTTAGCCGTGTGTCCCCACGCACGGGCTGTGGCCAAGCGCCTCGGCCAGGCAGGGCACAGCATAATATCCGCATTTTCACATGACTCGCGTGGGCAGGGTACGCCAGGGGCCTTGTAAAAGCTTCGCCCCACTCCTAGCAGAATACGCAAGAATCTTTGGAAAACCTGCAGTCCCCCTGGCATAATACAAAAGAATTTCGAGAAACGCCTTGTTAGCAAAATGCGCGAGAATCTTCGAACAAAAACCTTAGCCACCCATGTGGCCACCGTCACGATGAAGCGCGTTAAAAAAAGTTGTTGGGTCATTTGTTTTGCAACGGCGCACAAACAGAAGTGCGACCGCTGCGGGTCAGAAACAAATGGAAAGTAAAGGCAAAGTGACAGCCGCCGCTTCTGAGTGGCGGCGCCTTGCTCTGCGAACAAAAGCGACCGCTCTTGGCGGTCCTCGCTGTGTTTCCAAGGGCGCGCCATGCCCGCCTGCGATTTACAATGTGACCGACAGGCCGGACGCGGCCGTTTGCGCTGATGTCGCAAGCGCATTTGCGATAGGTGCGTGACCCAAGTGCTGCAGCTGAATTATCAGCGCCAGCGTTGGCACATCGTGTGCCCTTTCTGCCGCCATGTGGCCGCCGTCACGGAGAAGCGCGTTAAACAACTTTTGTGTGATCATGTCCCAGACCATGCGAGGGTGATCGCGAGTCACATCGGCCCAGTGGCGATCGTCCACAATACTGGCCCAGATGGACGCTACGATTCTAGGTCTTCCATCGACATGCCCCCCACGGATCTGCCAGGCGTTGTGAATGAGCTTATGAAGGAAGTG